ATATTTATATAAATATCCCTTTATTAGTATATTATTATTATTATTTATTTATTTTAATAAGAAGAGAATTATTTATTATAAACTAGCCTTAGGCTCTTATAAGTAGGTGTTATAATTATTAATAATTCTCTTAAGGAGAAGAGGAAAAGAGTAAAAGAGAAACTAGCTATAGAATATTAATATTATATAGCGGGCCCTATAAGCCTGCTTTAGTTCCTCGACGGCCTTAGGCTAAATATAAGGAAGGTAGGCTATAGAGCCTGAGTTCTTGATAATAAGTTATTATACTAGACTTTAAAAAATATAGCTTTTTTTTATAATAATAAAATATTAAAATACTAGTTCTTTTAATAGATAAGCCTTATTAAGGCTAATATTATACTATTTCTATTAAAATTCCTAAAATTATAAAAGACCTCTTAAAATATTAAGATATCTTAAGTCTAAAACTAAACTAAAATCTAATATTTCTAGAAGATATAAAATACCTTCTAGAAGAGCTAGAAAAAGTATTAGAATTACCTAAAAACCTAAAATACTAAAAGCTATTATAACTAACTAGTATCTAGTATATTTAACTAGGCTATATAAGTCTTTTATTACTTAAAAAGACCTTAAAACTTACTAAAGGTTTTCTTAATTTTACTTAAGTTAAAGATACTAACTTTAAATATATAGTCTATATTTAGGCTAAGATAATAAGATAGTTATTTAAATAAACTCTCCTTAATCTAGCTAATATCCTAAATATTATAAAAGATAATACTTTTAAAATTAAGCCCTTACCGTATAATAAGAAGCTAATAGGCCTTATATTAGTAGATAGAAAGTCTTAATATTATTAGGTTCTACTTCTTACTAATTAAAAGGAACTTACCCTTTTAAATATTATTTAAGACTTCCTTAAAAGTCTTAAAGTATATTATAATTATATATTAAAAGAATTCTATTATAATAGTAAAAAGGAGATTAATTAAGAACTTAAAGACTAGTTTACCTTATAAGATATTTAGTTTACTACCTAAAGTCCTTATATTTATAAGTAAAATAAACTATTTAAATAATTAATTTAAATTATCTTAAATAAACTTAAGATTATAATACTTTAGTCTAAGCTATTATTTTTCTTATAAAGTACTATATTACTAGCTATAATAATACTTATTAACTATATTATAAATTTAACTTAACTATTAGTACTTTATTAAATATTAATATAAGAAATATTATCTTAAAAAGCTAAGATATTAAATCTTATTTACTTTAAGGTAATAAGAGTACTTATTAAGGTTCTTATCTTTTATGAAAAATAAATAAAAAACTAAAAGCTAAAGGCTAAGACTAAGTTAAGATAGTTATTAGTTATTTTAGGCTTTAAAACCTATTTAGTCTATATTTCTTAATAATATATTATTACTAAAACTTCTTTTATAACCTTTATAAAGAAAATTAAAGGTATTAGGTATATTAAGAAAAGCCTAGAAGGTAACTTCTAAAATATATAGAACCTTAACTTAGAGGGGGGAATACTTAAACTCTTCTCTAATAAGAAGTCTTTAGATCTTAATAAAAAATCCCTAAACCTACTTTAAAAAGAACCTTAAAAGTAACTTACCTTTACCCTAGTCTTATTATTATCTAATAAACCCCTAGTTATTAAATTAGAAGAGGATAACCCTTCTATATTAATAGACCTTAGTATTAATATAGCCTTTTTTAGTTATAAGTTAAATTTAATAACTATTTATTTTATTTATTAGATTATAAAGACTATTAAAAAGAAATTTAAGATAGTTAAAAAGATATATAATAATATATTTAATAACTAAAAGAAGGCTCTCTAAAGTCCTAATAAAGATAATTAGATTAAAGTTTTTTTTAATAAGTTAAAATAACTTATTAGAGCTAAAGTCTTCTAGTTTATTAAATATTTAAAAGTCCCTAATTCCTAGAAGGTTTTAAAAAATAAACCTATCTTTTAACTTAAGTTTAACTAAAATAACTAGCCTATTAAATATAAGATAAGGTTAATAGTTAAAGGCTTTATATAGGTCTTTAGATAAGACTTTTTTTAGACTTATACCTTAACTTTAATCCCTTTAACTTAATAAATTATCTTAATATTAGTAGCTATTAATAATAAGAAAATTAAATAAGTTAACTTTATTAGAGCCTTCCTTAATAGTTAACTAAAGGAAGTTATTTATATAATATTTTTAAAAGGTCTTTTAGAGTTTATAGAAGACCTTTTATCTTATAAGAGTAAAAGAAGTAAAGAACTTCTTTAACTTTTAAACTAAGCTAACTATAATCCTTCTAAAAAGTAAATTATATTATTAAATAAAACTCTTTATAAACTTAAATAAAAACCTTAAAACTAAGAAATTCTTTTAAAAAACCTCTTAGCTAAGCTAGGCTTTAGTTTACTTCTCTTAAATAATACTATCTACTAAAATTAGACTACCTAAATATTTATAATAACCTATATTAATAATTATCTTCTTATAAGACCTAACCTTTATTATATTAATTAAATTAAAAGGTAGCTTAATAAGGCTTATCTTATTAAAGATAAGAGACTTACCTCTTTTTTCTTAAGTATTTAAATTATTTAAAATTAAAAAAAAAGAAGTTTATAATTATATTAAAGCTAATTTATAAAAGAAATAGTTTCTAGATTTAGTCTTCTTAACTTTAAGTTATAACTTATTTCCTTATAGCCTAGACTATTATAAGACCCTTTACTTAGTTTAATGCCTAAGTATATCTTTATAAAATACCTTATAAAGAACCCTAATTTAGAAGTACTTAAAAAGAAAATACTTAAAGCTTTATTAGACTTAGATTAATATATATTCTAATATTTTATAAGTATAATTATATAACTTATAATAATAATTAAACTAGATATTACTTTTTTAGTCTAATTTTACTTAAGATATATAATTTAGGTAAATATAATACTTTTTAATTTAGTAAAGGGGAGTCTAAAGTACTTAAATAGTATTAAGACTTATATTATAAGATATTATAAAAGTAAAAAACCTAACTATCTCCTCTAGGCTTACTCTAATAGTAACTTTACTAGATATTAAGAAACCTCTAGGTCTATAGGTAGTTACCTCTTAACCCTTAATAAAAGACCTATTAACTAAAGATTAAAAAAAGTAAGTCTTATTTTACTTTTAATACTAGAAGCTAAATCTAATAGTCTTTTAAAGATAATTAGAAAGATTAAATAAATCTTAAGGCTTTTTAAAAAAATAATAATAATAATTTAATATCTTATCTCCTTATTTTATAATAATTAAGGTTTAATCTCTAATATTAGTAACTTAAACTAGTATATTAAAACTAAGTATATATTATTAAAGTTTTAATATATTTACTAAGAAGCTTAGTCTAGACTTATTAATATTAAATATCTTAAAATAGCTTTTATACTTATTAATAGCCTAATAAAGCTCCTTTTAAGTATTAAGTTCTAGAGCTTCTAAAAGCTCCTAGACCTCTAAACTCTTAACTAGAGCTACCTATATATAGTAGTCTTAAGAAATTACTAATTACTATATATATTAAGGTCTATTATTAAAAAGCCTTTATCTTTATTCTAAATAACTCTTAAGTCTTTATTAAAATTTACTAGGTCTCTTTTTAAGATCTATAAAGCCTATTAAATACTAAGAATAACTAGATAATATCACTAAAGTAGTAAAATTAGTTACTTATATATACTAGAATTTAATATATTTAGTACCTATAGTTTAATAATAACCTCTAAATAGTAGTCTTATTATCTCTTTAATAAGGAATTAACTATAGCTCTTAATTAATTTAAGAGTTATCTTAGTACCTATAGGGTAGATACGCCTAACTTATAATAAGTTAGAATTTCTAATTATTATAAGCCCCTAATATCTTAAAAACCTATAAGGAAAGCTATACATTACTATTAGAACTAACTAAGTTATAAGGTAAAATATTTATAGTTAGTAGGTTACTAGCCTAGCCTAGCCTAAGCTACTTTCCTAAGAGGTCCCTTATAGATCCTATAAATACCTAGGTAGGCTATTTTTACTAAATAGTACTTATAGACTAACTTTTATTTTCTATAAAATTTATTTATATAGGTTTTACTAAAAATATACTTATAGCTAATAAATTTTTAGTTAATTAGTATATAGCTAACGTAGTTAATAAGTAAGTCACGTAGATAAGTAAGT